TGACAGCCCAGTCATTCTTTCAGGAGTTTTGAGCCCTGGGCTGGCGGTCCTCCTGATATGGCCCAAGAAGCCCCAGGTGTTCCCCGTCCTCCAGTCCAGCAAAGGCGAGTCCAGCTGCGCCTTCCTGTAGGCACAGGAGTCTGCGGTGGCGCCCACAGGCTGCAGCCGGCCCGGGGCGTCCGCGGTGTCTGGGAGGCCGGGAGCGTGTGTGGCGTCCTGGAGCATCTTTCAGTGTTGTTGGCTTACTGATTTTTAGGCCTTTTCCATTTGTGTTTTGTTCCATCGACAAAACTGAATCTCCCTGCCAGCCCCGCAAGCTCCGGGCGGGGACAGTGGCAGATGAATCTCGCTCCTCGCCAGCCCTGCCTCCCAACAGCAGTGGCTTAACTGGGGGCGATTTGTGTTCGGAGGCCGTGGTGTTTACACTGTTTGTCTGGGGAAGGAAAAAGCTGCGTGAACGAGCCGTGCTGTGCGGCTGCTTCAGACCTTGTGTTTGTTGTGTATCCACACTCTTTATCCCTCACAGGCTCCTGTACAAATGACCTTTTCCAGCCCTCGCTGCTGGTGACTCCGGCCCTGGCTCCCGAAGTGGCTGTCCGATGAGCCGCTGTGTCGTCAGGCCTGGCTGAGGACCACCCCAGAGCCCGGGCCGCTTTCCTCTGTGGCTGGGCCTTGTTGCCCTGCCCTGCCCTGCCCTGCGGGCTCTGGGCCCGGCCGGACAGGGGCAGGCGGGCCAGTGCTGGGAAATACCCGGCAGGCCGGGGGTCCTGTGTGGTCAGTAGGGAAACCTCACCAGCCATGGCTGACAGGGTCTCGGGGCCAGGGGTTCTGGTCTGGGCAGAAACCAGCACTGCGGCCTGCAGGTCACTCCGTGGGCAACAAGGGGCTTCTGGGAGCCCAGGAACCAGTGGGATGCCGTCCAGCTGCTTCTAAATCGTGTCCTGGGGCAGCTGGTCCTGGGAACTGGCAGAGCAGCACAAACACTCAGGGGCGGGGGTTAGCGCCTGGGTCGGGGTAGACGAGGAAGGAGCGTGATACCTGCTTGGGTGGGTGGGCGGGCCTGTGGCAGGCGGGCCAGGTGTGCGACGGCAGTGCTGACACCTGCGGGGACAGTCTCTGGTCACAGTCCCCGGGCAGAGCCCCTCGCACATGGGGGTCCCTCTCTCTGCTGATCCCATCAGGCAGCTGCCGTGACCGTCCCTGTTCCACAGGTGAGAACGAGGCTCCATTGTGGTGCCTGTGCTGTGGTTTTGGGAGCATGGACACAAAAAACCGTCCTCGAGTCCCGGGCGTGGTGTCAGCCGGGGGCTGCCTTCGGAGCACGGGGGCTGCTCCCACTGGATGGGCCCAGGCGGGGGGTGCTGGCTGGGGGGAGCCGGCAGGGTGGGCCTTTGCACGCTCACTGCTGTACGCCAGACACCCGTCGAGCTTGGCATGGGTTCTTCTAATCCCCACAGAAAGGGGGGACGGGTGATGAGGGCGTCTGGCTGATAGATGAGGAAACTGAGTCAGGGTGAGGCTGCCCCGTCAGTAAGTGGCAGGACCGAGTGTCAGTGGAGGTCACCAGTCTGGGGGGGGGGCCCTGAGGGGGTTCTTCACTTGGTGGCCTCTGTGCTGGGTCCCTGGTGCAGCCAGAAGGGGGGGTGACTTGGGGGGCACTGTTGTTGGGCTCCTTGGGGTAGAGGCTCTGGTCCCTCTTGGGCGTTCCTGCCCTGGTGACTCGTGACCCCCCTCCTTGGCGTTGGCCCTGGTGCAGGTGGGAGGCTGACTTTGTGGGCTCTCGTGGGTCTGCCCCCGAGGGCGCCCGGTGGCGGAGATGGAGAAGCCTCTGAGGGGCAGAGAGCGGCACGCTGGCCAGGGCACGCGCTGGGTCTCGCGCGCCTTTCTCACCGACCCCCCAACAGCCCTGTGAGGGGAACCGGCCAGGGCAGGGTGGGCCACTAGTCCTCGGCCGCACAGCCCGGCCCGGGCTGGGCCATAGGGCTGACTCCCCGGTGGGGCTACCCTGCCCCGGACTGGGCGCCTGCGGCCACCTCCGGGCATTTCCGCAGGCTCAGCACGCCAGTCTGCCGTTTCCGGGCCTCCCCCGCACTCCGAGGCTGCCGCCCCCCACTCCCCGACTCAGCTGCCGGAGCCTGCAGAACAGGGCATGCTTTTCCCGCCCCGGAACTGTGGCTGCCGTTGCCCGCGCACCTGCTGAGCGAAGGGCCTTAGAGACGCCTCTTGCCTGTGGCAGGGGCCAGAGTGACAGGCAGGAGCTCACTCCCAGCTGTCTGCTCTCAGTGGAGCTGCGGGCGAGTGGCCGGGGCGGAGGGGGCCACCTCGGTGGGTGGGCAGGTCACAGGTGCCCACTGTCCGCCTGAGCACTCTCCTCCGGGCAGCTTGGCTCTGCACTTTCGGGTCCGCTTCTGAGAATACAATTAAATTTTTGACCTTTTTTCCTGGATTTCTCTTGTTAGAAAAATGCTCAGATGTGCACAGGCCCCTACCCTGTGCGCAGCTCTGGCTTTTTCCTGGGATCCTCACACAGGGCCTCTCTCTGCACACACGTGCCCTGAGGTCTGCTCTGCAACTGGGTCCCCTTTTTTCCCTTTCGTCCTCTCAGCTGAGGGCGAGTATGGACAATTAGTCTTTGATTTCTCTTTCCATTGTTGTCCTCGGAGGCCTGGCAGGAAGACACCCGGCACACAGAGAGGTGACAGGGAGTTTGTGAAGCTGGGCCGCAGAGTCACGAAGCGAAGGGACTGAGGTTCACTGCGGCGGCAGGGGAAGCCGCTCGAACAGAACACCACTCCCCAGGCGACTTGTAAAGGCAGTTCTGGAGGCTGCAAGTCCAAGGTCAGGGTGCTGGCAGAGTTGGTGCCGTCTTCCCGCTGGGCCCTCATGGGGGAGGGTGGGGCGTGCTCTGGGGCCCTTCCATAAGGACACTAGTCCCATTCATGGGGCTCTGCCCTCCTGACCTAGTAACCCCCTCCTGGAGGCCCCTCCTCCTGTACCAGCACATGGCGGGTTAGGTTTCAACACGTTCAGCCCACGGGGCCCTCTGCCCCTAGAACTGCGGTGCAAGGAGGGCTGGCTGAGTGACGCTGTGTGGCTTGTGGTGGAGAGACCCTGCAGGTGACCACCGCAGGGAGGAAGCTGGGGGTCCATGCTCCTCCATACCTCCTTCTGGTCTCCTGGCTTCTGCTGGTACCTCCAAGGGGCCAGTGGGCAAGGCAGCCTGGTGGGTGCCGGCCCTCCTGGGGCGCCGACACGGGTGGAAGCGATGGGGAGCCATCTGAAGGGCCGCGTGAGAACATCCTGCACACCCGCTCACCCCGCACACCCTGCACTCAGCCCTTGAGATTCTGAAATAACTTTCGTCCAGTAGGTGGCGCCTGCAAGTGGGCGAGGGTGCAGCTTCGTGTCCTTGGGGACTTGGGGACCAGGCATCTCCGAAACAGCTTAGCTTGTGCTGTGGAGGCTTGTAATCCTGCTGGTGATCGGGAGTCTCCTGCTTTGTCAGCTGCTTTTGAATCCAGTCTTTTACTTTTTTCTGGTTTATTTGCTTGCTAGTCACTCACTGCGAGGCCGGTTTGAAAGGCCTCATCACCACCCTGCCGAGTGTTTCAGGGATTGTGTGTAAATGTTCCGAGGGGCCGCTCCCTCGCCGTGGGAGGGCTCGATGTACAGAAATGCGCGTTTCCGGGTTTTTCAGGACAAATCACACTCGGGGAAGCAGCTGAGACACTAAAAAGTGTTCCGCTGGGTACGGCACCGGGAGGCGCTGGGGTCTGGCAGGTCAGGGGCCTGTCCCCAGCTGGTTCCCCTGCTCTGCCTGGAAGGCGGAGTTCCCGGGACTGACGAAGACTCTCTCCTTAAGCAAGTGCCAGTCACGCCTGAGCCCTCTCACCGTCCAGGCAGAACCTTGGTCCCGCCGTGTCAGCAAGCGTCCCGCTGAGGTAGTTCAGGAGAAGGCTCACCTGTGCTGTCTGCTCCCCCCGGGCTGCCTCGGCAAAGTTCCGATGTCTGTGGGTTTTTTAAAAAGATTTTACTTATTTGTTTTTAGAGAAGGGAATGGAGGGGGAGAAAGAGAGAGAAGGACTGATATGTGGTTGCCTGTCGTACGCCCCCTACTAGGGACCTGGCCCGCAACCCAGGCACATGCCCTGACTGGGAATTGAACTGGCAACCCTTTGGTTCACAGGCTGGCACTCAGTCCACTGAGCCACAGCAGCCAGGGACTTTGTCTGTTGGTTTGATGAGATCCCCTGCACTTGGTGTTTCCCCTCAGTGATTTTCCACCTGTGACCCCTCGTTCTGCTTGTTGCTCTGAACCTCCCCAGTGTCCCCTCTGCTCACCGCGGAGTCCATCCCTCTCCTCCATCACAGAGGCCATGAGTGGAGCCTTCTTACCTTCTCAATGAGCATCGGGACACGTTCTCAACGTCGCCCAGTGTCCCCTGTGCCCTGGTTTGGGTCCTCAGAGATGGTCGTACACCCTCGCGCCGTGTCTAGGGCGTGTGACAAGCTGCCCCCGCGGGTGGCTGTCCTCACAGTTGGGAGCCCTGCCTCCATCCCAGGCTGGAGATCTGCCTTGACTTCGCTGGGCCACCCCAGTCCTGCCTTGGCTTGAACCGCACCCGCCGCCCCTGAGTGAAGACCTCGCTGCCTGAATTTTACCCGTCCTACCGAACGTGATCCGAGGCAGCCCCTCTGCGGCCCTTCCTGCTCACGTCACAGGACTCGAGCCCGGCTGTGGCCGAGCCGCCGCGGACTCTGGGCTGGGGTCGCTGCGAGGGCTGTGCTGGGGTTGCTGCCCAGCTGACCCTGTGCCCTCCCGGGTCTTCATCCTGCAGACTCCTGCCTCCCCGCTCCCCCTCTGCCGTCGGTTCGCGCTGGTGCCTGGGTTGATGGTTTTGCGAATGACACACTTTTTTTCTTTCATGGAACTTCATGGAACACGGTGCGTGGGCTTCATGAAGGCTGTTTGTCTCAGAGTCTTGTTTTTCAATTTCCAGGTTGATGGCCGCGTCCCAGACGTTAACGTTATCGGAAGCCTGACGCCCGCGTGGTGAGTGGTTTGCACCCCTGGGCACCCTGGATGCTTTGAGGGACTTCCTGGGTGCTTCTGGGTAAAGAAGGACTTGGGCTCTTTAGTTCGCTTGTTTACCTGGTGGCCCTGAACCTGTGCCTGGTGTTCAGTGCTCTGCATCCCTGTTTTTCACATCACCTCGTTCATGGGCGTGTTTGAAACACAGCAGAGAGGTCAGCACATCCCCAATCGTCGGCTTGAAGAAGAATTTTAGGAAGAGAATGTGAAAAGACAATCAAGTGTATTTACAAATAGTTTAATCTGACTCTGAAAAGATAAGAATGATTTTTTTTAGCAACACAGTGCTATGATCACATGCAAAAATGAGCACTAGATATTTATTAGTATCACTGAATTGCCTCGCTCAGATTTCCATGGTGTCTCACAGGTGTGTCTTCATCCTCGGTTAACAATGCCTGAGGCCGATCCCGGGATGCAGTCCACTGGTTGCGTTCGGTCGATGAGCCTCAAGTCTCCCGTGGGTGTCCTGTCCCTCTTGTTCTCTCCGACCGTGTGCCTGGCCAAGAAGCTGGTCCTTTGTCCTGTGGAGTTCCCCACACAGAGACTGTGCGGCCGGCATCCTTGTGTTCTTTAACGAGTTTTATTTCGCCCCCAGATTTCCTGTACACTGAAGGCTGGATCAGATCAGGGTTCGATTTCTTGGTAAAAGTATCTCCTGCGTGGTAGTGTGGCTCCGTCAGGTGACACGTTCCATCTCTCCTGTGCATTCACAAGAATAGATGCCATCTCGTGAGGTCCCTGTCGTCCACTTTCCTGTGGTTTTAGTGGCCATCCGTGGCCCCAGCGGACCCCCGAGCCGTCCTGTATTCGGGTTGCAGGGCGATACTCTATTCTGCCATCTGTTCTGGATTTATTAGCTGGACAACTTCCATAAAGAACTTTACTTAAACCTTCTTAACGAGTTATGCTGAGGTATAGTTTGTGTACAAAAGGCAGAATAATGGCTTCCTTCTTTCCCCATATTTTCCAGAATAATGAATTGGTTCCGTACTTTCCTTTACAGATGATGAGTAAGTTTTTAAGAACGATACTGCTGAGAACTCTTGGGTTGCTAGCGCAGTTTGTGTTGGGCCCGGATCTGGTAGGACAGGAGTAAGAAATAGCCTCTTTCCAAAGTCTGAACTCTGGACATTTCTGGACGATGAGGGAGAGGAGGGGAGGGGTGTGGAGGAAAATGGATGAGGCTGGAAACCTGCAAGTGTAATCGAATTCCCACAAAGAGGATAGAGAACAAGGATGCTCGGAATGAAGGGATGGAGACGGGGCTGTGGGAGACAGTGAGGAGGGTGGGGTGACGGGGGTGGGGTGTGGTCGGGACGCGAATCAGAGGGGGCCTCGCAGGCTGCTGTGAGGCCCGTGGGGCACTTGGATGGCGGACCATGTGGCATTTTGTGAGAAGCATTTTGGAGGCGGAGGGGACAGGGCTTGCTGACCGGTGACCTTCCAGTGAGTGTGATGGGAGGTGCTGTCCCCGAGGAGGAGGAGCCACAGGCCCTGGGGGAGGGCAGGGCAGGGTGGACCTGCAGGTAGGGGTTGAAGGCTGGGAGTGGGGGGGAGTCCCCAGTCCTGGGTGTGTCTCAGTTGCTGGGCAGGCTCCTTCTCTGGAAGGACAGTCACCTCTTTCAGCTTGGTGACCACAGCCTAGGCTACTGCCAGCCACACATAGGGCCGTGCGGTTTGCGGGGGTGACGGCCGGGCCTCTGATGAGCACCCAGTTCTGAAGACACGCCCGCTGGTGATGGAGCAGAGCTGCTCCTGGGAGGGAGACACGCTTGGCCTTGGCCTCGAGTCTGGGCTGGACTCTGGTTTCTTTGGAGGTCTCCTGGGGCTGATGTGCCGGCTCTGTGTCTCCGTGTTAGGTCCTGCCTTGTCCCCCTGGGCTTGCAGGGTGGTGGTGCCCCTCCTTCCTGGCCCTGGGACGACCAGGATGCGCGGCGGGTGCCGCATGGGCCCGTTTCCGTAGATGGATTTCTGTGGGAACCAGGCTCTCCTCGTCTGTGCGTCCTGTCCGTGTTTCCTGCCGTGCCGTGCTGCACTGGCGCAGGGACCCGCATCGACAGAGGACATGTGTCCCACAGAGCCTGAACCGCTTTCTGTCTGGCGCTTTACCAAGAGCAGCGTGCTGTCCTTGGGGCCAGAGATCAGCAGGGAGTGAACGAACGGGGCTGTCGTTACAGGGCCCTCGGAACCGTCGCCCATCCCAGGACGCTGCACAGCCTTCGTGGCCGTGGGCACGGCACGTGGTGCGTGGCTCAGACTGGGCTCGACATCAGCACTGGGGTCATGGTTCCTGTGCTCCTTCTCCCCAGGGAGACTCCGTGCTCCTCCGAGGCACGAGGACTCGGCTCAACGTGTGTGCCCTCTGCACCCGGGCTGTTCCTGGGCCAAGGTCAGCCACCTGGGACGGCCCCGGGGGAGCCGTAGCTTGTTGGGCGGTTGTGTGATGGGTTCCCCACCTTTCCAGCCCCTGCCTCGCGCCCAGGTTTTCAAGGTGAGCAGCCAGCTCGTCTCTCCTCAGTGCGACTCAGCCAGTTTTGGCGCAGCGGTTCCTTTGGGCTTAATGGGTCTTTATGGATGGCTGTGGAATTCTTTATTTCATAAAAATTGAAATAGATTTAAACTACAAGGACTTGTTTTCCTTAATTGCATCTTAATGTAATAAAAACCAGAGTGTAATTATTAAAAAGGATACAAGAAAATAATTAAAACAATAACACTGCCCCGTGAAGAGCCTGGTTCATCATGCGTCGGGAGTAATTGGTATCTGATGTGTAATTAACTCTCTGCAGCTCGGGGCTGAAGCGGGGGAGGCAGGTCCCCGTGGCTGCAGCAGGCGGCTGCGTCTGCCCTGAGAGCGCTTCCGAGCGTGTGCACGCGTGCGGCGTGGGCCTCCGTCTTGTTTTTTGTGTGGGATGGAGGGAGATGCTGAAAGATGCACGAGGGCACGGGGTTGTCTGCTGCCCGACCAGATGCCCCTACGGCCATGGGCTGGTCGGGAGGGAGGGCTGTGGCTTCAGCTCAGGCCGCAGGGACACCTCTGGAGTTGGACTAACCGGGGCGAGGGCCCTTCCTGCCCCGGGTCAGGTTGGCCCAGGGCTTGGGCTTGACACGGGCTCCTTTTCTGTAGCCGCCCTGACCCGGCCCCGGGGATCTCGCTGCTGGGATGTCCAGGGATGTGGAGGCTGAGGAAACAGCCCAGGAGCAAGGGGGGGGTGGCGGACTCTGAGACCAGAGCCCGAGCCTCAGTTTCCCCACGGCTCACCTGGGCACCTGTGGCTTGCCGAGGATGGGGAGATCAGAACACGCAAGATCATAAGTTAAAAGTATTGGGCGAGAACCTCCCAGGAAGACCGGCTTCTCCTCACTGTTCTGTGGTTCAGGGGTTCACTGCCCATGACCACCACATCCTGGCTTCTGGGGGAGGGAGGTGCTGCTGCTGTGCTGTCCCCTGGCGCTGAGGGTCTGGCCCCAGCTGGGGGGGGGGTCAGCTCTGTGTCCAGACAGAGGCTGCCATCAAATAGGCTTTGAGTCCTTGAGTCCAGGCTGGGGACGGGGGTGGGGCACGGCCTGCCCAGGATACTAGTCTGAAAGAGACCACCGCTGCTCCGAAGTTTGGGGCCTCTTCTCTGGAAGCAGCTTATAGTTTGGGGTGTGTTCTTTGAAGTGTCTTCCTCGGTGGCAGATCTTTCTCCTTTTTGGGTGGTTTTGCTTTTCGGTGGGTTTACGGTTGCGCCTCGTTGGGTTTCCTACCTCTGTCCTTGTCTGCAGTGTAGTCAGGGCTCTGAGTGTCTGGGAGACCCGCTGCCTGCCTGGAGCCCCCCGGGCAGCCCTGCTGGCCTGGGTGTGAGGCCCGGCCCTGCCTGCTGCGGGCACAGGTTTGCCCACCCTTCACCTGAGCTCTGCCCACCTTTGGGCGCCCCCACCCCTTTGTGTGAGGAGAGGGCGGCCTGCCTCCTCCGGCCTCCCTTTCCTGTAGGACTTTGAGCAGCTGCCCTGACTCTGCTGAGAAGCAGCTGCCCCTGCACACTCCCAGCCCCTCCCATGGCCCAGTCAGTCTCCTGTCACTGCTGCCTGCACTTCCCAGATCACAGGGCCGCTGCCTCGGTCAGAGCCCGCCAAGGTGTGGGTGCTGCCCTTCGGGGCCAAGTCCGCTGTGCAGGGTCCATTCCGCAGCTGGTTTTCTGGGGCGGGCGCACGGAGGGAATGGTGCAGATCGGTTATAACCGAGCCTCAGATCCCACCCACCACGGAGGGGAAGGGGCCGGGCAGGGCCTAGGGTCCCTGGGGGGGTCCCCTGAGGACGAGCCCTTCAGAGACGGAGCCCAAACCAGTCTCAGCTTTCCCAGCTCCCCCACACCTACTCCTGTGCCCAGTCTCTCAGCCACCCAGTGTTTGGCTCGAGTGTTAGCTCTCACGCACACACAGACACACGTGCACATGCGTGTGCACACACAGAGGTCACACCCACGCCCACTCTCTGGTGTTGGCCTCATTGCCCAGCCTTCCCTGAGGATCGGGGGGCTTCCGTCCGCGTGGGTGCTGTTGGCTCCAAGCACGTCGCCCTCCAGCAGCACCCTCACGCCCCCTCCAGCCCCTGCGCCCCGTCTCCCAGCCCCTGGTGGCTCCTTTCTCTGAACCCATCAGGCCGCAGGACCTGACTGGTCGGCTGTGCACGGACTTGCACTTCCTCTCACTCGCAGTTTTTCTTTTCCTAAAGCACTGCTGGGCGAGTGGTCCGAACTGGGCAGTTCCCAGGAAAATCGGCTGCGCTGAGTGGAGCCCGGCGTTTGGCAGTTTGGGTCACCCATGCGTCTGGCCCTGCAGCTGGGGCACCCAGATGTCAGCAGGTGTGACGGACAGCCAGTGCCAGCGTGCTGGTGGCCCTGTGGACTCGCCGGTGGCTGTCACGGCTCCGAATCTCTGTGCCACGCTGCGGATGGCGAGTGGGTCCCAGCTCA